CACACACCCCACACCCACTGACACCCACACCATACACCCCACACCCATTGACATCCACACCACACACTCCACTCACACCCACACCACTTCCATCCGTTATCAGTATATTTATTTTTGCAGATGCAAAGGCCTTTAGTTGAAAGCATCGGTTTCTTTTACGATTGTTTCAGAAAATTACTTGACTGAAACTCAGATGGAAGTAGATTGGCAAGTTTCATTCAACGAAAAAACTAAAATATTTGGGGTTTATCATCCATAAATTCTGATTTATACCAATAATATCGTTTGAAATTTACTTAATAGTTAGAATTTCACATGCTGAGATATTATCTGTCAGAGTTATGCAATCGTTGTCAAACTGAAAATTAAAATCTCTTTCAACTGCATCCGTCTGTAGAGATGTCACGGTTTCCGTTTCTAAGGAACGAGAACCTGATTGAAAATTCGTTTCCACGCGTTTTTGATCCTCTTAAGAGATCTTGATATACCTATTCTTTCAATTCGAATCAAGTTAGGGTGGGTTGCTGGGCTCCTAGGAACAGGAACCCGAAGCTGACGCCCCTATCCGTTTATGGGGTGTGGGCGTGGATTAAGAGAAGATGTGCATGCACACGCACATGCATGTCCACCTGCTCACATCCGCACCGCCGCCCTAACTGATAAAAGCTATATGATTTGTTGAAAAAAGAAATCATAATGCTTGTAGAAATATTTTGAATAAAGGTCTTTTTTTAATTTAGTATCCACGTTAAATTGTATTTATTGAATATCCAAACAAATTTTCAAAAATGCAATGTGTTTAACAAAAATTTATAAGCTTCTCAATTGTATTATCAATCGAAAATTAAAGTAATTCTTTTAGACTTTCTAGTTTATTTCATCTGCATTCGCAAACAACCAGTAGCTGCATAATCTTCAATTGTTTCAACACCATATTCATGTTGAACTAATTGATTCAGGGTGGATGTGGGTGAATATGGAGCCAGACTGATTTTATTTATGCTTACACATACATCCACACCCTCTTCTACCTAGGCATGGACGTTTTTCCTGCCAATTGATTTCTCTGAAAAGAAGAAAACAGGCTGAAATGAAATATCTCATTCCATGTAATGCATTGATAAAATCATGTTTGTTGTGGTTCGTTAATTGTTGACATTGCTTAGTTGATTGTGTGAAACACTTTAGAACATATTGTACATTAAAAGAGAAAAATATCACTGGACTCTTCTTTTTAAACATGTAGCAAGAAAACAAGATGAAATAGTACCGGTATCATTCATCTTTAACAGCAGAACAGAAGAATAGCAACAGTAATGGAAGGAAAATATTACAAAAATATGTACTGCTATGCAACAATGCTATCCCGTATGAATGTGGCAGTGTAGCATTATCAGTTCGCAACAAATCATTTGCAAGCATAAACTCAACCAGAGCTCGAGCGAATCTTTTTGCATAAAACTGTCGATCGAACCCGTCTCTCACTACATAGGATAGTTCGGCTTGTATAGCATTGATACGAGAAATATAATTTTTTGTGATATAACCACCACTATAAAAAGTCTTATTGCCAGGCTTTGGATTGTTTAATGAAGGATAAGCAATACCGAGTTCGTTTGATTCCAAAAAAGTACCAAATGCTTTTGAACCTTGAACACATTCGCTCCGATTCTGAGAGCAAGATGATTGAATAAGTAATTCGATCGAAGTCGGAGATAACTTGTCATGATTGAGTTGAGCTCCGGTTAGCAGAGTTCCGACCATTGTATAACTGAATACAAAACAACCGAAAAGCTGAATTATCAAATACAATCTACCTACTTTCCTTGTGCATGTTGATGAACATCGAGAAGTAAACCTTGGCCATGAAATTTTCTCTCAATGGTAGCAATGGCTTCTTCTAAATAATCATGATAACTACGGTACGATTTAATCGCTTCCAGATGATTGAAAGTCGCTTCATTCATTTCCCGATTAAAATCAATCTTCTTGCGATTCCATTTGGCGACAACAAGAAATGGTATAATAGCATACGTTTGATTTAATTGATCGGCTACATCCTCGGCGAATCGATCATCCATTGCAAAGTCTTGTACTGTAGTAACTGGACAACGCACACCGTCGTCACATGGATCATCAAATTGAAATGAACATACAGTTGAGTTTGCTCGTCGACAACCACCTATCGTACGATCGGGCACATCTTCTGGCATGTCACTGCCAGCATGAGGCGATGAAAGAATTATATTTGCAGTGGTATAACTAGACAGAATGGATTTAGATGAATTTCGATATCTTTCAATGTAAAGATGAGGATTGATTGCAGCAGTTAAAATAAACAAAGAAAAATAGACGACAGTGTGTATGAGAACCCACATTGTGTTGTTGCTTGATGCAAACGAGCGCAAAATTGAAGTAGTTTGATACTCGTTGTTGATCTTTCTATCTTATCATTCTCTTTCTCTCTTTTGCTCATGCCTTTAAATTGTGATGTGTTTTAAAAGCCACTAGTATGAGAGCTTCTCTCCTTTGATTCTTTTTTTTTTCACTCTTTCCAACGTGAAAAAATCGTATATCCACGAACAAGACAATACCAAAGGAATCATATGCAATCGAGATATGACAAGTTCCTCGTATCATATTATCAATCTTCTCATCACTCACATCTTTCAAAACGTTGTTTTGTTGATTGATTTAAGTCGTAAAAACAACGAAAACATACGATTTTTAGAAGAAAAGATAGAATTGCGAAAATAATCGAACGACCCCATTAACAAAAGTTTCCACTATGCTGAATCACTTTGCGATTATTTCAGAGTAATGGCAATGTGAAGTTTATTGAATTCTTATCGAAAAGCTGTCGTAAATAGAACCAGACACAATAGTGAATTTTGTATTCGACTTCCACTAAACAAAATCTTCAAATCCAGTTTCGATTCGGTGCTAACTTTGTTTCCTGTTTATCCTAACTGGCTTGTATCAGACGAATAATTGATGTTCAATTATTTCTCCTTCAACAATTGTTATTCAAAGCGAATTCATCTTTTTTTCTGCACAGTAAAAACTGGAACTGCATTTCGATCGTAATCGAGAGGGTAGAGCGAATTTATTAATTAGGTATTTTTATCAGAATCTGACAAAAAAACAATCAATCGAAAAAATTAAAATTCTCTTATCCCTTCGGTCAAAAACTCGAACAAATATAAATAGTTGACACATGATGTAAAGTAAGTTTTTTTATTTTATGCCATTTGCAAGATGAAATTCTTTATTAGATGATTTACAATTCATGAAATTTTTAATCATTAAGAAGTAGATCGATGTAAAGAATTATGACTTTGAATTAACAAGTTTAAAAAATATGGTGACTCTTTTGAGAATATGTCTAAGATAATTCAGTTGTTTGATACTATTCAATCGATAAGACGAGCGAACACATTTTGTCACAATATATTTTTACGACGTTCGTACAGAATCATTTCAATTGAAATTTATCAACAGAACCATATAAATGGTAAATCTCTATTGGTGAAAGAACCTGAAAGAATTCAGAGACTGAACATATGATAAGGAATCGTTTTGTATTCAGTAATAAAATTCAGTTGTAATTCATTTGATTTCATTGTTTCTGCCTACAAACTTAGTGTTTTTGTTTTGGTTACTTCTTTGCTTACTTTTTTCTTTTCTCTTGCCACGTGCGATTCTTATCGATAGAATGTGTCGTTAAAGATGCAACACGAAGTAAAAACGAAAAAAGGGATAAGACACATTCATAGCGACAGCAACAAAAAAGAATCGAACAATGACTTTTACACATAAAAAGTAACGTAATAAAACCGAATACCATGTGTGGGTATAAGTTTCTGGGTTTAATTTTCCTTGTTGATTGTGATCAGTACTAAATATATGATCATGATCGACTGGGAAAGAAGGAATCGATCTATCATGCAAAGACCCACGAATGATCTCGAAAAATAAGGAAAGTCGAAGGAGTAGTAGTTTATGATGGGTGTGAGTGAAGGATTGGTTTTGGGCGTGCATGTGGGTGCGGGATGTGGGTTCTATGGAGTCTATGGGCTTTTTTATTTCAAACTGAATTCTAAAATCAAAAAAACCACACAAATTTCTTCCGAATCAAACTTTTCTCGCTTGATACTACGTAGTCTCACTAAAAACCCTTAGTCCCCCCTAGTCCTGCAAAGTCCCCCTTAGTCCCCCCCACAAAAAGCTTAGTCCTCCCTTAGTCCCTTTTCAGGGGACTAAAGCCTATAGTACACAAAACCACAAGCACAGCCTCACCCTCACTCACGCGCCCACACCCGCACCATGGGTGTGGGTCCCAGACCCACACCCACACCCTCAGTCCCCCCCCCCCCCCTCACTCCTAGACTCACGTTTCAGTTTGAAATCAAGTATTATTTTTAGTTGATAAATTCAGACTGAAATTAAATAGCCCATTGTATGGTTCTATGTGGGTGTGGTTGAAATGGTGAGGTACATACATCCACTCTTAGTTTGACGAAAAATAAAATATATTGATTAAGCTGGAGCCATAATCGAATTGATGGAAGGCATGACTATTAGAAAGAGAGAGATCTTTCTATCTCAGTCTTATATTGACTAAAATATAGCACTGAAATGATCTTTTCAATGTTCACTTCGAATTTAGAAAAAGCATACGATTCTTTTCTCTTTTGCCAGACAATATCATCATCATGTTCAACGTCATTTCAGCTCCAATTCGTCTAGAATCGTTTTTCGGGTCACGTTTAAGACGTATCTATTGCTCATACTTTGAGCAATAGAATTTTCTCGATTTGATATTTCTACTATATCGCAAAGAATGTTTAAGGCCTCCGCCCCTAAAAAAAATAACTCAATTTTCGTCAGTATTTTCGAAATTGAGATAAATGTATGGAGAGATAGCCCGTCTTCAGGTCTCTCAGAAATGATATAATTTTTTCCCAACACCTCTTCTTTGGTGAAAAATTTTGATGATTTCTGTAATCAGCTGCTCAAAAACGATTTTTCCAGAAAAAAATGGATTTTGAGGTTTTTATATGAAAAATCAGCACTTTAATGGAATGTACAGACGTTTTAGCAAGTTTTATGAATTGTTATAGAAAAATCGAAGTTCATACAGCAAAAAATGAGAAATTGAATAACTGATACACAAGAAAAAATCTTTATTTAAAAAACTAAGATATAACAAAAAAAATTACATAGAAAGATTCTTTAATAAATTGTTACTTATTCTTCTTCTTCTTTCCACCTTCTTTTGTCTCTTGGATTATAGTAACCATCTTCGTCATCACTACTGCCATCATTGGTTTCGAGAATTTCATTTGTTCTTGTATCAGGATTAAGAAGTGTTTCTTCCTTGTCCATATGATTTGTTTCACCATCACTATCATTAGATGATTCAGCACTACTTTATGTTGTATCATTATCATCGTAATATGTTCATCATTATCAGTAATTGTTTCATTATCTTGAGTTGTTGGTTGATCAACCGGATTTGTTTGATGATAATCATCATCCGTTTGTTCATCACCATCTGTTGTTTTATCATCATTACCGGGTGCATTATTGCTATTATTTGTTTGATCATTATCAACATTTTCCTGTACATCACGACCAGCTTCTTTTCTTGTTTTTCTATTATTTGTTTTTGATTCTGAGTTGAGACGACTGTTGTCTAAGGGAATCATTGCTTGATCGGTATAATAACCACGACAATCACACATGTTGTTGAAAAGATCTGTGAAAAATCAAAACAAATTATTAGTTTATATGTATCAAGCATTTTAATTTTAATTAAAAAAACTTGCGACAATATTTGTACCTTCTTACCTAATGCAAAATATCCACCATTAAATATTACTATTGCAAGATGGCAAGCAATTTCAAATGTTGTCCCAGATGTTGTTTTGTGTTTTGGTGACATAAACCAGACAAGCGAATGAAAGCCGTCGTTTGGATTCTGACCTAATGCATCGACCACTCGTGCAAGACTTTCCCGAGAGCTAATGTTGTCAAAAACAGGTTTGTTTGCATCAAGAACAGGACGAGGTAAAGCATGTGGTTTATGGCCATATGATGTTCCATCACGAGCAGCTTTTAAATAACCACACCAATCGATTCTGCAAGAATCATGACAAGGATCATCATTGGTCGAATATTTATGCCAAAATATAGCCCACGATCGTTTTCATAACAAATCCAGATCGTGTTTGCATTTTCGGATGGTGGAGGCAAATGCTATTTGGAACCGAATGATATTTTCACCTAATACTAAAAAAATACAGATTTCCGGTTTGGTTCAATTTCAAATTTTTTTTCTGTCTAAGAAGACTTATTGGAAAGACGATTTTTACCACTAATAGTTTTACCATCAGATAATTTTTTTCGTCCATATTCACGTTTTTTTGTTTTTAATTGACGTTTCATTCTTTTGCTAAAATGATTCAGGTCTTCAATTTTCTTGATCACTTTTCCTAAAAAGACAAAACTGTTGATGGTGTTTCAATACTAAATGCAATATTTTTTTTGAAATAAAATAAACTATATTATACCTGGATATGATGTTGTTTTCAAAAGAATAGTAAATGTTTTTGAATCATCATCATCAACATATTTTGTATCATAAATTCCATATTTAGAAACTGATCGTTTGAACATGTTAAGAACAGCATCAGCCTCTATTGTACCGGAAATTTTGTTGTAGTTTTATTCACACCGACGTGATCCAATAATATCATTATATTTAGCTGGATTAGATTTCTTAGTAGCAAGTGTATCTTTTTAAAAAAAGATCTGATCATGAAAACAAAAAAAAAACAACTTACCCATGCACACATTACAGGTTTCACTACACGTTTCAATATCAAGTACTTTTGGTGTTGTGTTACACGATGAACATTGAAACGATAAGATTACAAATAAACCTTCGCGTTTGTTGATGTTAATTGTTCCATTCCAACGATTTCTGCAACCTTCAAATTCGTCTTGCACATAAGAATAAATAACATTTGGTTTTGCAAGATTGTGTATCCATCCATAGGCACATTTGAATTTGAATTTGCTGATGTTGATGTTATATCCAATTTTATTCTTTTCTTTATCTTCTGTTGTGACGGTAAAGACGAACGTTTTGAAGATGTGAGTGGGTGTGGGTTGGGTGACGGTATGGGTATGGTGGAACCAGAGATCAACACCCATATTCTGCACCTACCCACACCCACAACGAGAATCGATAGAACTTGGAAGCAGTATTCCGACCGAAAAGTTTCTCCATTTTTTCCGGTGACTTGCGGTCAAATTTCTGTTCTTTTCGGTAGTAAACGGTCGAAAAGTATCGGAAAACATCCGGAGACTCTTCGATCGGAATATTGCTTCCACGTTCAATCGATTTTCTGTGTTTTCCTTGCTAGATACTATTGATTCTTCATCATGTTTTCGACCGGTTCCAATGAAATCCTATGGCTTCCAGAAATCGAAATCGACAATCACATAAAACTATTTCAAGCACTTTTTTAAATTGGTCACGATAATCATCAAAGATCAGATGAAGATGAACATTGAAGATCAATGTTGATAATCATGAACAATATATGGGTAATCAAACAGAAATTATAGTTAGTCATCATAGGTATATGATTTGCTGCAGTTTTCTTTCTCTTTTTTTCTTCATTTCTTGTCTTGTCCTCTTGTCTTGTACTATTTTGTTATTTATGATTTGACCTATTTGTTGATTTGATTTAGACAGCATTATTGCGTAGTTGGAAAGAGAAGATGACATTATATCATCTCTATGAAATATATCTAATTGGATACTTAATTAGATAGGTTTTTCTCTTCTCATTATTTAAAATTTTTATTTAGTGACGTGCTTCATTAATGACTCTCACTTCATCAGACTATTTTTGATATAAAATGGCATATATGATAAAATAACACGCACATTTTTGAATCTGCACATATTCATTACATTCTTTCTTTCTTTTCTTGATAATGGAATGAAGAAGAAAGGGGTACTAGACATAGGTTTTCTTTTTGGATTTTCCTTCGTTCATTCCACTATCAAGTGAATAGAGAGAGTGTGTGTAAGTGTATATATATAAAATAATGTACGTGTCATTTTACACCAAAAATGGTCTGATGAAGTGAGCATCGCTGACAAAACATCATTGAATATATCTCTTCAATAACAGGAAGAGAAAAATCTATATAAATGTCTAATTATAAGTGTTCTTCCTTACAAGGCAAGATTTCAAAGTACATCTTATTATATAGTTGTAAATAGAAGAAGTGACCTACTTTTTCCTCATCTTCTTCTTCTTGTTTTTCTTTTCCTCTCTTCTCTTGTTTAAATTCTTTCATTTTATCTAAATAAATTATTATCATTTATCTTGAAAAATCAAACGTTTTTCCAGATCATACATATGATTATAACAATATAAGAATATATTTAAAACTACACTAAAGTATTATTGAAATGTAAGTAACAATCATAAGAGTAGAAAAAGGATTTCTTTCAACTGCGAATTTATAATCATGTTTTAATCATGCAGCATAATTGATAGTAAAGATTAAATAACGAAAATTTTGTTTGCTTTTCTTCTCTAGCATACTCTATTAATTTGACTCCTACTTTCTGTGTTTTTAGATAAACATGTAAAACATGATTCAATATTTGAATCTTTGACTAATATTAGAGTTAGAGAAAAGAACTGTTTTATATTCAATTCGTAACGGATGTGAACGGAGTGTGCCTGTGAATATTGATAAAGAGTAGAATCTGTGTTTTAGTATTTGTGAATTTGGATGCTATTCTTGTTCTATGGTAGTACCACCATGAAAAAAGTTAAAATAAGCACCGTTAAAAATAAAAAATAATAGAAAAGTGACTAATCACGATGATAACTACTGAGTATCGGACAAATCACTTCTCTTGTTGATAGAATAGAAAATTCTTGTAAGACTTGTAAATGACCGAACAGTATAAAAGACTCCCGATTTTTTAATGTTTTCGCTCATTAATTGAAGAAGAAACCTTTGGTGAAGTTCATGATAATTACAAAAATATACTGAAATCCATTTGTTACAAATGTTTGCTTCATAACATCTGAGCTTGAGCTTGGCGTGCATTGAGTACAAATCTTCTATAATTTTGAATTTGAGAATAATTTTGGACAGAAAAAAACAGTAGATAGGAGGCTCGTAAAATCCGATTAGGCAGACATTCGAGGAATATACTTTTTTTTAATTATCTTGCCAGAAGATCTGTTCGAGAAAAAGATTCACGAGACAGTCTTTTCGATGACAAGTAAAATTCACAAAATAATACCACTAGTACATCCTACATCACTGTAATCAATACTTATTTTCATTCGTGGCGAACTAAAATGGAATTGTCAAACTTTTCTATGCCGACAATGGGCTAACTTTCTACACTGTAATTTTTTTTAAATTCTATTTTGAAGAAAATCGATATTGAGTAAGCTAAAGGATTTTATAAGTCTTATGATTTATTCATCGAATTTCGAATATTTTGAAAATGCTGGATTTTCTAATTTTAAGAATTTCGGTTTTATTTCCTATGTTAAATCGAAGCTAGAATATCATTTGCTTATTTTCAAAAAGCTGGAAATTCATTGTTGAATTCATATGGACATTCCTTGAATATCCTTCCAGAATTCATATAGGCATTCCCTTTTTTTACAGTGTAATGAAATCATAGTAAAAAAATAGGCGACACGCCCAAATATGCAACAGATTGTTAAGAATTTTGAGATTCTTAACAAAAGTTCAGTTTTATTAAACAAGAATTAATAAACTAATTATCTCATGTGACTAATCTTAAAATTCTAGTAGTAATTGCTAACAACAAACTATATCTGGAAATATCCAGAGTTGCTCTTCTACTTTGTTAGTCACTTCGTTTGTCATGACAAATTAGTTAAAGCAAGAGAAATATCGTGCTCGAATATTTTGAACTACGAAGGCGTATGTGAACGATAGTTTTCTATGAATTAAATACACGAAACAGGGAATAGAACGCGTTGGGATTGTCTGACAAAAATGAGCCGTAAGTTCCAGAAGTTTCTAATATCGAATATATGTGATCTTTACAATAAAGTAATTTGATTCGATACAGGTCTAATTACAACTAGCTAGTGAACAGTCATGTATTAGATAGTAAGCACTCATTCTGCTTAGGTTTGACTAAAGTTTAATTGATTTTTGAAAAATATTTCAGAAAAAAATGAAAAAAAACTGTTCAAGAACTATTTGCATTTCTTTTTCCTAGCGTTCGTTTGGAACATTCTGTATTTAGAAGTGTAGAGCATTCTTTCTTATTGGGCTTTAGTTGTTGACATTCAAAATGTAACACTTCGAACAATTTTCTTGAATCTAATGTGCGTCATATGAACAACGAAGTTTTGAATTTGTATTTCTGTAACAGTTGTTTTGCGTATATTTTTCAAAAGAAATCATTAAAAGAGACTCGTTCGTGTACTTCGAAGTGCAAGTATTTGTTATTTCGAAAGAAAAATATTCCCAGCTCAATGTTGAAGTTTTTCATAATTAAATCAGTTATCAATATGACAACCGTAGGTTATGTATATTGTCAAAGACAAAAATGGTAGATGCAAACTAATAATTATTCATAGTCATATTTTTCATTTGAATGATAATTTGAACAGAAAATAAACGTAACAAGAACACTTCCCATTGTTGCAGTCTTCTCTGAAGATTGTACTCGATACATTCATCTATGTTTATATGACTTTTTTGAGAAAATATTATTTCTATTTTTCTGTTCTCATCATTTTCTTGCATTCAAATGTATTTTAACAAGAGTTCTCGCATGACATGACCTTTTTGCGTTTGAAGAAAGCTACCATAAAATAATGACGACAATTTATTATGACGTATAACATTTTTATAGAATAACAATTGCATATCAATGTATCAATAACAAGATGAATTCTACAACGGATGATGCTTTTCTCCATCAGCTTCAATCAATGCCTCAGACTCTATATAATACTGTTGGCTTTGTACTTTTTATCTTCGGAACGTTTGGAAATCTACTTGATATTATATGTTTCTTTCGTCTGAAAAGTTTAAATACGTTATCCAGTTCATTATTCTTACTGGCTTCTTTCTTTGGTAGTGAACTTGTATTAATTACTGGGCTTCTTCAGCGTTTTATTTTTGGAATTACTGGTAACGATCTTCTATTTGATTCATTATTCATCTGTAAAGCTCGTTCGATGCTTAAACCAGCGAGTGCAACATTTTCAATGACTTGTGTATGTTTTGCTGCTATGGATCGATACTTCTTTTCATGTCTTGATTTACGTCGTCAACGATGGATTACACTTCAACAAACTCGTTTGATCATTACTATGACGGTTATCTTATGTCTTATTCTTTTCTCCCCGTATGCTATATTTTACACACTATCAGCTCCAACATCTTGTTCGATTGTTAATTCAATCTTTGCTTATATTCAACCTTGCTTAAGTTTGATATTCTACAATTTGGCACCGGTCATTATTCTGAGCACTATCTGTGTATTAACATGGCGAAATTTAGGACAACAAGTAGCTTTTTATTTAAGAGGAAATGATCGTTGCTATGATCAAGTCACTCGACTCATTATTGGCCAA